CCCTCCCCAAAACAAATCTACAACAACAAAATAAAACGAGCACAACAACAAAAAAAGGCAGGACATGTAACATCCCCTCCCCCCAATTAAAAATGCACAGCATGCCCCCCTGCACTGACCGTGGTTCCATCCACGGCCACAAACACACTCTCACGGCTGGAAACTACATCGATGGAAATGACCCGCGCCAGCTGCTGACCCGGCTGGACTTTGCTCACAGCGCCCTCCTCAGCCTCCATCTGGACCACATCTGAAATAACGAATGAAAATTGCATGTAACATATGGATTTGTGCCACATGTAAAATGACAAATGAAAAATGATTACACAATCTATAACATACATCTGTACCGGATGTGATGAAGCAGACCAAAAATAATCAAACACAGCACATACATGCATGTTTATCCATCTGGAATACACATTGAATAGCACATCAAAAATTATATAAAACATTTCATTACACCCATCTGAACCAGATTTGAAATTTTTTAAATTGTGAAGCACCTCAAGCCACCAAGGAGTGGGCACTATAAAAGCGATCTTTATTATTATTATTATTATTATTATTAAATGAAAAATTATTTCTGAAAAATCATTTCATATCTATTGGAACTATCACGGTAAATGAAAAATTATACTTGACACATATCTCCTTCTGGTTTTTATCTGGTCTGTCAAATTTAACGTCCCCTTGATGGAATCTCAGCTCTTCCAAATTTTGTTAATATTGGCGCAAAGATGACTGAGTAATTGCGATTAAAATTGGTCCCGTTTTTACACACCCTGTACGTGTAAACCACACGTATTTATGACCTCTTTGGTATAAACTCTGATTGGTAAGTAGCCTATGATAAATCAGGATCTTTCACTGCTTCTTGAAATTGCAGTTTTCACGATTTTAAAAAGAAATTCGCCAATTCATGCCGCTTGTGAAATGCAAAATATCATTTGAGTATAACTTAGTATAAGTATTACTAGATCTAGTAGTACATTTTGCTTATTACACAAGTTTGCTGTCTATTTCCAGATTATATAAGTGTTACTTGAATTTTACTACTTCTACATTTTTGTCTTTAACTGTAAATGTGTTTGTTCCTTATTCATCTTCTGTCAAGCTATATCGCTCTTCCCTCATCTGTATCTCTCTACCTCTCTCTGTCTTTCTCTGTCTGTCCGTCCATCCCTCCCTCCGTCCCTCCGTCCCTCCCTCC